TATATGGGCATGGGGAAACCCCTGTGTTCCATATATGGGCATGGGGAAACCCCTGTGTTCCATATATGGGCATGGGGATATTCCTGTATTCCATATAAGGGCATGGGGATTCCCCCTGTGGTTTCCATATAAGGGCATGGGGATTCCCCCCTGTGGTTTCCATATAAGGGCATGGGGAGACCCCATTTGTGCCCCACATTGGGGTGAGGCTCCTGAGCCCCGGCTTGTGGGGCTGAGTCCCCATTGATGGGGCTGGACCCCCCCTTATGGGGCTGAACACCCCCTTATGGGGCTGTGCCTCAGTTATGGGGCTGAGCCCCCGCGGAGCCCCCCGGAAATGGGGGGCTCGGGGTGAATCCCCCACTTATGGGGCTGAATCCCCCCTTATGGGGCTGAACACCCCCTTATGGGGCTGTGCCTCAGTTATGGGGCTGAGCCCCCACTTATGGGGCTGGACCCCCCCTTATGGGGCTGGAACCCCCCTTATGGGGCTGAATCCCCACTTATGGGGCTGGAACCCCCACTTATGGGGCTGGAACCCCCGTTATGGGGCTGGACCCCCCCTTATGGGGCTGAGCCCCCTCAGTTCTTTGGGGCTGGACCCCCACTGATGGGGCTGTGCCCCCGTTACGGGGCTGTGCCCCAGTTATGGGGCTGAACCCCTCAGTTCTATGGGGCTGGACCCCCGATCTGGGGCTGAGCTCTACTTTATGGGGTCCCAGTCCCCGCCGTGGGGTTGGACCCCCCGCCATGGCGCTGAGCCCTTCTCTGTGGGGCTGAGCCCCTCTGCTGTGGGGCGACGTGGGACCGGCTCCCTCTCCGTGGGGCCGAGCCTCTCCGTGGGGCCGAGTCCCCGCTATGGGGCCGAGTCCCCGCCGTGGGGCCGAGCCCCTCTCCGTGGGACTGGCTCCCTCTCCATGGGGCCGAGCCCCCGCTGTGGGGCCACAGCCCCGTCCCTGGGGGCCGCGGGTGCCCCCCGGGCTCCCCCGGCCCCCCGGCCTGACCTCCTTCTCTCCCCAGCTACCGCCCGGCGCTGCCGACGGCCCAGCTGGGCCCACTTATGGGGCTGGAGCCCCCCGAGCGCCGCCGCTTCCTGGGGGGGCTGCCCCTCACCTTCACCGGGCCCGACCGCGGCGCCATCGACTGCCGGCAGAGCCTGGCAGCCCTGCCCCACATCTGAGCCACCGCGACCCACGGCAGCCTCGGCGGGGCCGTGGGCACAGGGAGGGACCCGTGGGGCGCGGATCTGCCCCACGGCCGCGGCTGCCCCATGGCTGCTGCCCCACAGCTGCTGCCCCACGGCTGCTGCCCCACGGCCGCTGCGGAGGAGGGGATTTGGGGTGGGGGATTGACCTGTGGGGCCCAGATCTGCCCCACGGCTGCCGCCCCATAACCAACTGCCGAGTACAGGATTTGGGGTGGGGAACCGACGTGTGGGGCCCAGATCTGCCCCACAGCTGCCGCCCCATAACCTTCTCTCCCCCCTCAGCAGCCACAGGAGGGGGGATTTGGGGTGGGGACCGACCTGTGGGGCCCGGATGTGCCCCATAACCACCTCTTGCCCCATAGCAGCCGCCGGTGGGACGTGGGGCGGGGAGAGGGGCCCGGAGCTGCCCCACTGCCCCCGGCTCGGGCGGCCGCCCCACAGCGGCTGCCCCATAGCGGCTCTAGGGGGGCCTCAGGGCGGGGCAGAGCCTCTGCTTGGGGGGGCAGAGCCGCCCCACATTTCCCCCCCTCCCCCAGCTGCGTTTTTAACCGTGCCTCAGTTTCTCTCTCTTCTTCCTGCTGCCGAGGTCTCGTCCCCCCCCCGGCGCCGCCGCCCCACGGAGAGACCCCCGCCCCACGGAGGAAGGAGAGACCCACGGAGAGACCCCCAGGCCGCGGCCCCGCCCCACACGGAGCCTCGACCCCACGGAGAAACCCCCCCCGGGACCCCCCCGCCGCCGCCGCCGCCCGCGGAGCCCCCCGCCCGCTCCCAGCCCCACCGCAGACTCGGGGGGCTCCCCCCGCGCCCCACAACCGCCCCGGGGGGGCTCGGGGACTCCGCCGCCGCCATCGCTTCTCCTCCTCCTCCCCTGGGTCTTTGCGCTGCTCAAACCCCCCTTTTTTTGGTTCGTATTTAATTTATTTCCACCCCTCCCCCCCCCCCCTTCCTCCCCCCCTCCCCCCCCCC